GAATAATTTAACCGTTGATTGGTAAGTAGATGGCTGCGGAACTCGCTGCGCTCGTCTCGCAGAGGTCTACCCATAAGTTCCACAATAATCCACTTATTTGTACTTGAACAATAATTTATTATATAAAATCAAAATTTGTAGGATTATGATTATTGACTTTTTGTCAATTTGCTTTTCAACAGAAATTAGTAATGTTACTTTACCAAACTAGTAACATAATGTCACAAGTTATTCAAGTACAAATGAGTGAATTGTTGCGGAACTTATAGGTGGACCTCTGCGGGACGAGCGCAGCGAGTTCCGCAGCCATCTATTCATCAATATGTTGTTTAATTATGATACTAATCTGACTCATTTAAATATGAGTTATTCTCAGTTTAAAAACTACACGTTTTAGGTGAATGTCTCATTTGAATAATTTAACCGTAGATTGGTAAGTAGATGGCTGCGGAACTCGCTGTGCTTGTCTCGCAGAGGTTTACCCATAAGTTCCACAATAATCCACTTATTTGTACTTGAACAATAATTTATTATATAAAATCAAAATTTGTAGGATTATGATTATTGACTTTTTGTCAATTTGCCTTTCAACAGAAATTAGTAATGTTACTTTACCAAACTAGTAACATAATGTCACAAGTTATTCAAGTACAAATGAGTGAATTGTTGCGGAACTTATAGGTGGACCTCTGCGGGACGAGCGCAGCGAGTTCCGCAGCCATCTATTCATCAATATGTTGTTTAATTATGATACTAATCTGACTCATTTAAATATGAGTTATTCTCAGTTTAAAAACTACACGTTTTAGGTGAATGTCTCATTTGAATAATTTAACCGTTGATTGGTAAGTAGATGGCTGCGGAACTCGCTGCGCTCGTCTCGCAGAGGTCTACCCATAAGTTCCACAATAATCCACTTATTTGTACTTGAACAATAATTTATTATATAAAATCAAAATTTGTAGGATTATGATTATTGACTTTTTGTCAATTTGCCTTTCAACAGAAATTAGTAATGTTACTTTACCAAACTAGTAACATAATGTCACAAGTTATTCAAGTACAAATGAGTGAATTGTTGCGGAACTTATAGGTGGACCTCTGCGGGACGAGCGCAGCGAGTTCCGCAGCCATCTATTCATTAATATGTTGTTTAATTACGATATTAACCTGATTCACTCAAATGTGAGTTATTCTCATCAGTTTGAAAACTACACGTTTCAGGTCAGTTTTTTTTCTATTTTGGTGTCATATTGAAGTCTTTTCGACACTAAAAGTAGTTTCGAAAAGAAGCTTTTTGTGTTACTTATCGGAAGTTGGTAACACTGGCTGACTGATGGCCATCGAACTGTCATTTGCGATTTTATTATTGGTAAAAATAAAAATAAAAAAGAAGATTTCTATATTTGGCGTGTAGTGTTACCAACCTAAACATGAAATCAGGAAATATGAGAATAAAATTTCCAAGGAAAATTTGTTTTTTTTAATTAAACAATACCAAAATAGAAAAAATAGTATAAAATATTCGTTTCATAAGACATTTTATCGTACTCGCTCTTTAGAAAACTCGCCTCCGGCTCGTTTTCTTATATAGGGCTCGTGCGATAAAATGCCGTCTTATGAAACTTGTATTTTAATAAACTATTTTTTTATTTATTAAATTCACGGAATCACCTCATTATAGCATAATAATAACAATAAATATAATATAATCATTAATATTTCCTTAAATTCTAAAAGGTGTACATTATAGAAAACAGGGTGTTTGGCACATGAGTAGACATACGTAAGTCTCAGATAGGTGGGGCCGTCTGCTATGCGGTCCACCTAGATATTTTGACCTGGACCCTAAAACATTTTTTTAGAATTTCTTAAATTTTTTTTCCAAAATTTTCAATTTGCAGATTTTAAACTTTTTGAAAAATCAGGAAACTGACAACATTTTAATCCGGACTAATTCTAGAATCATATACAAATTTAATAATTGGGGCTCATGACAGTTACAAAGAAAAATACGGGTCCTCGAAACTTTTTTTGGGGTGTCAGGGACCGTATTTTTCTATGTAGTTTTCATGGGCTCCAATTATTAAATTTCTATGATTCGAGAATTAGTCTAGATTAAAATAAAATGTTAGTTTCGTAATTGTTCAAAAAGTTATTTCAGTTCAAAATTTGCAAATTGAAAATTTTGGAAAAAAAAATTCTTAGGGCCCAGGTTAAAATATGTGGGTAGACCGCATAGCAGATGGCCTCACCTATCTCCCACTTATGTATGTTTACTGTTTACTCATATGCCGAACACCTTGTATATGATAGTTTTAAATTGACTTGAATTTAAATTTAAAGAATTCACATCACAGTGTTTATTTAAAAACCTAAAGGCCCTACCGAAAGGATTATTACAGCCATAATTAGTAAAATAAAATTTTATGTGAAAAAATTCATAGAATCTCAATGTATGCTTGGGAATATTGAAACTGACTCTGCTTATAAGTTCAGGACAATCAATAAAGTTATTCAATAGTTTAAAAATAAATAAGGAATTTGTCTATTGTAAAGTGTTGTTAATTTCAATCTATTTACGATTACTTTTTTATCAATGTCTGCAGCTGGGATTCCCATTCTATAACCAGCATATTTAATAAACTTATTTTCTATCCTTTCAATCGAATCAATGTATGTTTTATATAGGAGACCAGATTAGTGTTCCATATTCAAGTTGGAAGAACAATAAACAACTTTTACCACATCAATTGGGAAATCACTACAATTTCCTAATGTAAAACCAAGAAGTTTGAGACCTTTAAGAATTATATGTGAAATGTGATCATTAAAGTTAACACTTTCATTAAAATTGACACCAAGGTCTTTAACTTGATTCTTGTTATTGAAGTTCACATTATTTATGAGTGAAAAGCTAATCTAAAAGCATCCATCTATGTTTAATGAAAGGTTATTGGTCTGATTCCAATTTCAAAGTGTATTAATATCTTTTTGTAATATTTCTATGTCGGCGAGACTCCCTATATATCTATATAATTTAAAGTTATCTGCAAAGAATAAAACTAATGTTTCCAGGTTATTACAAATATTATTTATAAAAAAATTAAATAGCAAAGGTGAACAATGGCCCAAGAAAACTTGATATCCATTCTATGGCTTGCTTGGTAAATCCTACATTGCCCAACTTCACAATCAGAAGGTTAAAATTAACTCTGTCAAAGGCCTTGGAGAAGTCACTGTAGACTGAGTCCACTTGTTTTTTCCTCTCCAAAGCCTCTATAACAGGTACATTTCATTAACTTCCAAATTAGTTATTGTGGACTTCCCAGCCGTAAACCCATGTTGTTCTGCTTTTTTTTTTTGAGATAATTAAATTTTTCAAATGACGAGAGAACCACTTAGGAAAGTTAAAGTTTTTCACAAGCTTTCTTGGAATAAAAAAACTAAAGACAGTATCCAGAATTTCATGAAACTTTTGTATGTACATCAGCAGAACCAATATCTTGACCAGAAAACAACTCATCCCAATTAACACTGACCAGTACTCTTTATATTTTAAATTGGATTTAGTACTATGTAAAAGATGTACTAATTGATTACTATGCAGAGTTATTAGAGGATCTATGGCTGGCTCTACTTTGACTTCAGACATATTCGTAAATATCAAATCTAGGTATCTACCGTTATCATTTGGGTGCATTACTTCTTGATGAAAGTTAAAAAACGAAAAGTACCCACAAACCACCCTGCCATGAGAGTTTTCTGGGCATTCTACACAAACACCCAAATCATCATTATACTATTATAGCCTCAAGCAAATTGAAGTCTCCCAGTAAAATGAATTTGATATCTCTGGTAAATATTATTCACCAATTCGCAATGGTTTATGTAACGCTCAAGTGGGGTTTTAGGTGGTAAAGTCTATGCACCGAGAGTTTACCCCTAAGTCGTAAAACACGGCATGGCTATAAATCATGCGAAATATAAAAAGAGGACGGGTTCTACCTAAAATTCTCAAAATGTTTTGTGGTCAAGAAATTTTGTGAAGAAATATAATTTTTACAGATAGGTATTTACATTCCGTATTTATTTAAAATGCAATATATTCATATAATGCTGAGTATAGATTATTATACTTTTATTATTATTGTTATTACATATTGTTTACAAGTGAAACATAATTATTATCTAACTTAACACAAAATTTTGTTTTGTTTGGGAAGCACTGGAATTTCGGTATAAATCTTTGACAGGCCCTATATTAATTCAGGTGCTGGTGTACCATTTTTCAAAGTTACTTTAAAATATAAGTAATATTTTTTTATGGAGTAAATTTTAAATAGGCAACTACTCTATAGACATTGATTTTCGATGTAGGTAACTCAAAAACTTTAAAATTAGTTTGAAAAAGGACTTTATAGAACTAAATGTAAATTAGTTCACTTGGTCTTGTACTAATTTATTGTCAGTCCTGTGTTTCACAGCTTACGGGTAACCTCTGGATGCACAGACTATAGGTAAACTGATCCTACAATATAATGTTGACTATTCAATATAATTTCTATAAATAACTGTCCAACATTGCTAGCTGTTAAAGGAATAATTTTTGATCTGATCCTGTCAGATACTGCAATGAGTACACCTCCACCCCATTTTTTGTTGCTTGACTTCGATCACACCGATAAATATTATAAGCACGAAACTTAATTCCATGCTCCACTCAACCATGATTTCATAATAATGATAATATCGTAAGAACAGTTCAGAAGTGAAAGCTTTAGCTGTCTAAATTTAGTCCGTAATCCTCCCATATCACGAAAGTATGCTGTTAATGAGGTACTATCCTATGTGCTCTCAACTTCAGTAGGATTTCTGTAGGTACTGTTCCGAGGTCGATTAGAGGATTTTTCAATAATTTTAGGTATCCCGTTAACTAGATCTTCTTCACCATTGTCTCTTCTAGTTTTTAATTGACCCTGAGTTTCCTTCAATGTTTTTTATTGAAACAATGTTAAGTCTACGTTAATCCTAATTTTATCTTCCTGCAAAGCGTTTTGCTGTTTTAAGCACTCACCTACAAATTTTTTATCTCAAAAAATTACTTTCAACAATTATTTTGGGTTACTCTTTCCCACTCTAATTTATTTAAAATCTGTGGTCATGGTTCATGCGTTCTTTGACATCTTTTGATGGAGATTCTGTGACATGTTGCTGGATCTAGTAGCACTATCTAGCATTTCAGCTAACACATCCAGTGTACTATCAGATTTAACTGCACTGACTGGGATTAGAGTGGTAGCCCTATCACTTGTTTCCAATATAGAAATTTTTACCTCCAATGTAATTAAGTTACTTTGGAAGTCATCACATCCAAGTTCATTTCAGTTTTTTGTAGTTCTGCGATATAATTTCGACGATACTAACCTGACTCACTTAAATGTGAGTTTATTCTCATCAGTTTAGAAACTACACATTTCAGGTGAATGTTTTATTTGAATAGTTTAACAATATATTGGTGAGTAGATGGCTGCGGAACTCGCTGCGCTCGTCCCGCAGAGGTCCACCCATAAGTTCCGCAATAATCCACTTATTTGTACTTGAACAATAACTTATTATATTAAATCAAAATTTGTAAAATTATGATTTTTCACTTTTTATCAATTTGCCTTCCAACAAGAATTAGTAATGTTACTTTACCAAACTAGTAATATATTGTTGAAAGTTATTTCAAGTACAAACGAGTGGATTGTTCCGAAACTTATGGGTGGACCTCTGCGGGACGAGCGCAGCGAGTTCCGCAGCGATTTATTCATCAAGTAAGTGTCTTATTTGAACAGTTCAACAGTATATTGGTGAGTAGATGGCTGCGGAACTCGCTGCGCTCGTCCCGCAGTGGTCCACCTATAAATTCAGCAATAATCTACTTATTTGTACAGGGTATTTTATTATATATTGACCCCCACCTACAGCCTTCACTTTCACAGGTAGAAAAAAGGTGTAGATACAAAAGTTGTACAATTTTGGCTGAATTTTTAGAAACCATGGTCAAAAACAAAATTTGAATGTCAGAAATGAGAAATTTTGCATGCTTCCAACTTTTTTCAAATGAGATATCCTATATTTTATTCTATATTCTTGAAGAACACAATGCCCCGATCTATATTTGATTGAGCAATCTCTCATGGATTCGGCTCTAAAAATTGTAAAAATACTATCCTATTACTGATTTTATGAACCATTAAACCTGTACAGGTGGAAGCTGCAGGTAAAATTCGACAACTCAACCAAATATAAACAAACTATATAGTTTTGGAATCGAGAAATTGGGCTCTTCAAGAATATAGAACCAAATATAGGACATCCTATTTGAAAAAAGCTGAAAGCATACATTTCACATTTCTGACATTCAATTTTTGCTTCAGACCATGGATTTTAAAAATTTTGCCAATACTATACAATTTTTGTGTTTACAGCTTTCATCTACTTGTAAAGGTGAAGACTGTAGGTGGAATGTCAATATACAGGGTGTCCCACGACGTTAGAAAATTGAATTACAAAATCGGCTATGTCATATTTGTTGAGGCTTTGTTAAAGGATATGACAGAAAATTATACAGTGGAACATACGATGGTGCGTTCCGAAATGATCATTTGGGAGAAACCTCGTGGGACACTCTGTATAAAAAAACACCCTGTACAAATCAGTGGATTATTGCGGAACTTTATGAGTGGATCGCAGCCATCCATTCATCAATATGTTATTTAATTACGATTTTAACCTGACTCACTGAAATGTAAGTCATTCTCATCAGTTTAAAAACTACATTTTTCAGGTGAATGTCCCATTTGAACAGTTCAACAGTATATTGATGAGTAGATGGCTGCGGAACTCGCTGCGCTCGTCCCGCAGAGATCCACCTATAAGTTCCGCAATAATCTACTTATTTGTACAGGGTGTTTTTTTATATATTAACCCCCACCTACAGCCTTTACCTTTACAGGTAGAATAAAGGTGTAAATACAAAAGTTGTACAGTTTTGGCTGAAACCTTGGTCAGAAACAAAATTTGAATGTCAGAAATGTGAAATTTTTCATGCTTCCAGTTTTGACGTAAACGCACCTTAAGTTGACTTGATTGGTTATAAATAACGCTCTGCATCAACTCAACCAAATTGACTGGGTTTACATCAGCATCTTTTGAAGAAAATTCAAAAATAAAATCTCATTTTTTTCTAACAAAAATGTCTTTAAATTTAAGTTCTTTACGATAAGCAACTGATTTTAAATGAAATTTTCAACTTCAGCTTACATTTTAATTAACTCCAAAAGATTTTGACATATAAACGGCAAACGTCAACCATTAAATCTCAAAATAACCGACTGTCAAAAATCAAAAAAACGTCATTCTTCATAAAAAAAAATGACATTTTAACGCCTACTTACTTGATTAAATTTAAAATTAACTTACCCCTTTTAGTATCTACATCGTTACTGTCCCTCAACCTATTGCCATCCTGGACATTGTCCTGATGATGATGGTGATTCCTGGCCGTCGACGAAACGTTGTACAAGTCACTGAACGCACTAGTATTACCAAAAAACGAAGTCCTATCCTGGAAATTTTTCACAATAATTTACAACTTTGTCATTACACCAACGTCAATATGACCAAAATAAAACCTAAATTGACATGTTGACGTTGTTATTAGTAAATGAATGATTCTTACTTGTAAAGCTGCCTTAGCTTTTTCGACACTTTGCTTTAGTTGTTCGAAAGTGCTGGGATTGCAGAATCTATAAGCTGGCCAATCACTGGCCGAGCTGAACTCTTCAGTTTTGATGCCCAAAGGGCACGCCGATGCGGTACTGCGTTTCAGTTCCAGAGCTCCTTGGTACGAACAGGAACTTTCGTACATTTTACGACGGATGTTGCACTTTCTTCTAAAGAATAAACTTAATTATTGTTTATGGATTTTCATAGATTCTAGTGAATTATGAGTGAATTATAGATTGATTTAAATGATTAGAATGGTAGAAGGCTTGAAACTTTTCAAAATCTATAGCTAAAGGATTGATATTTCACTTTTCAAAAACTTTACAAGGAAGCCAAATATACCTCATGTTGCTTAAAAAAATTCCACTTAAATATCTCACATAAGTTTACACTTAACGAATGATGATTTTCAACGTAAAATTTGCATTCGAACTTGAGAAAAAAAACTCGAAACGAGAACGCGCAGTGGCGTCCGAACACGGCGATTGCCCGTTTCCGTTTCAATTTAGAAGAACAGGAAGAGCTCCCTCATCTCATTATGCGCTCGTTTTACCAATTTTTATTTATTGTTATCGCTTTGATGTCTCTATAAAAGTAGAAATTTTTAAAAATATCAATTTTGAAGCTTCATATTTTGAAATATCGGTTTCAAACCTGTTCTATCTTGAAGGGCATTCAATTCTGATTGGAAACTGTTAAATTTAGTAAAAAATTTAGGAAATATTCATTCACACGTATACCTTTTGGTTTAAAAAATGCCCCTGCCACATACATTGTAAAGCCTCATATCTTGAAAATCAGATGTGACAGCTCTCAAAAATTGTTTAATTCAAGAAATGAAAATAATTTTGAAGCTTTATCGATAAACAGGCCTATGATGTGTTGTTTGACACTTTGAAGTCTCATATCTCGAAAACCACTTGAGATATCGGTGTCAAACCTGTTCTATCTTGTAGGGCATTCAATTTTAATCCAAAACTGCTAATTTCAGTATAAAATTTAAAAAAATTTCATTGGACTAAGAATGATTTTGTGAATACACACGTATGCCTTTTGGTTTAAAAAATGCCCCTGCCACATACACTTTGGAGTCTCATATCTCGAAAACCAATTGAGATATTGAATTCAAACTTGTTCTATCTTGTAGAAAATTCAATTCAGATTCGAAACTGCTAATTTCAGTATAAAATTTGAGAAATATCTATTGAACTAAGAGTGATTTTGTGAATACACATGTATGCCTCTTGGTTTAAAAATGCTTCTGCTACATACATTTTGAAGTGTCATATCTTGAAAACAGCTTGAGATATCGGTTTCAAACCTGTTCTATCTTGAAGGGCATTCAATTCTTATTGGAAACTGTTGAATTTAGTATGAAATTTAGGAAATATTCATAGAGCTAAGAGTGATTTTATGTATTCACACGTATACCTTTTGGTTTAAAAAATGCCCCTGCCACATACATTGTAAAGCCTCATATCTTGAAAACCGCTAGATATATCGGTTTCAAATTTGTTCTATTTTGAAGAGCATTCAATTCTGATTCGAAACTGTTAAATTCAGTAGAAAGTTTGAAAAATATAATATGACATTTGACAGGTGTAAAGGACCCCGCAATATTTAAACGGAAATTGGTTACCTGTGATATTTGGATGAAATTTGAATATGTTATTAGAAATGCCGTAAGCAACATTTTTTACCATGGGCGCAACCTTGTATATATGACAGGTGAAGCGATATCAGCTGTCAAATATTGAAATTTAATATTCAAAAGCAGGGTAACTATGGCAAATTTTGATGAAGCAAGTATGGATTCCTACTAAGTTAACCAAGATAAAACGAAAAATGTCAACCATTTTGAAATCTGTCAAAACCCTGCCAAACGCAGCACTAATATTTTTCAGTTTTCAATATTTCATGATGGATCATTTGACAGATTTGGCTTATGTGAATTCTGAGTTGAAAAATTGGGAAAAAAAATTACAGAACTGTCAAAACTTGTCCAAAATAATATGACGTTTGACAAGTGTCAATTTTTCTGAAAAAGCTTTCAAATTCAATTTCAATTTTTATTCTCAAATCAAAATGATATTTGACAGGTGTCAATTTTTCTGGCAAGTTCGTTCAACATCAAAGTCAAATTCAACAATGACAATGGTCATTTTTTTTTAATCAAAATGACTCAAATTTAACATTAAATTTTAAAAAAAAATAATAACATTTGACAAATGTCAATTTTTTACAAGGTCATCGGTTATTTTACTATCAAATTCAAATGTAACAACTGTCAAAAATTGTATAATTCAAGAAATAACATTATAATTTTGGAACTTTACATAGACTTTGGAATGGTCTTGTAACTGTTAAAATAATAGCATTTTGACAGGTGTCAATTTTTTAACCGTCAAAAAAAAAATATGTGAAATTTTTTCCAATCAAAATGACACGAATAATTACGCAATAGAACATTCTATAGAACAAAATCGACGATTTCGATGACCTCGATGCAAAAACAATTAATGTCAAAATAATGACAGCTGTCAATTTTTCTGAAAAAACTTTCAAATTCAATTTCAATTTTCATTTTTAAATCAAAATGAAATAAATAAATGATATTTGACAGGTGTCAATTTTTCTGACTCGTTCAACATCAAACTATGACAATCGTCAATTTTTTTTTAAATCAAAATGACCCAAATTTGACATTAAATTGTAAATAAATATGTAATAACATTTGACAGGTGTCAATTTTTTACAAGGTCATCGGTCATTTTACTATCAAAATCAGATGTGACAGCTCGATAATCAGGCCTATCATGTGTCATTTTCTATTATCCTAACAGCAACGTTAAGTACTGTCACTGTTTATTCTACACGTAGAAAAGTATAGATTTTAAGTTATAACACAACTGGAAAGGATACATCATAACTGAGCTAAAAGTGATTTTGTATATACACACGTATGCCTTTTGGTTTAAAAAATGCCCCTACCACATACACTTTGAAGTCTCATATCTCGAAAACCACTTGAGATATCGGTCTCAAACCTGTTCTATCTTGTAGGGCATTCAATTTTGCTCCGAAACTGCTAATTTCAGTATTAAATTTAAAAAACATTAATTGGGATAAGAAGAGTGATTTTGTGAATACACACGTATGCCTTTTGGTTTAAAAAATGCTCCTGCCACATACACTTTGAAGTTTTATATCTTGAAAACCACTTGAGATATCGGTTTCAAGCCTGTTCTATCTTGTAGGGCATTCAATTTTGATCCGAAACTGCTAATTTCAGTATAAAATTTAAAAAATAATCATTGGGCTAAGAGGATTTTGTGAATACACACGTATGCCTTTTGGTTTAAAAAATGCCCCTGTCACATACACTTTGGAGTCTCATATCTCGAAAACCAATTAAGATATTGAATTCAAACCTGTTCTATCTTGTAGAAAATTCAATTCAGATTCGAAACTGCTAATTTCAGTGTAAAATTTGAAAAACATCTATTGAACTAAGAGTGATTTTGTGAATACACATGTATGCCTCTTGGTTTAAAAAATGCTTCTGCCACATACATTTTGAAACCTCATATCTTGAAAACAGCTTGTGATATCGGTTTCAAACCTGTTCTATCTTGAAGAGCATTCAATTCTGATTTAAAACTATTTATTTTAGTATAAAATTCATTGAGTTAAGAGTAATTTTGTATATACTCACGTATGCCTTTTGGTCTAAAAAATGCCCCTGTCACATACACTTTGAAGCTTCATATCTCGAAGACCGCTTGAGATATCGGTTTTAAACCTGTTCTATTTTAAAGAGCATTCAATTCTGGTTCGAAACAGTTAATTTCAATATAAAATTTGAGAAATATTCATTGAATTAGGAGTGATTTTGAAGATACACACATATTAAACCTTTTGGTTTAAAAAAGGCTTCTGCCACATACACTTTGAAGCCTCATATCTTGAAAACAGCTTGAGATATCAGTTTTAAACTTGTTCTATCTTGAAAAGCATTCAGTTCTGATTCGAACTTGTTAAATTTTGTATAAACATTAAGAAATACCCATCGATCTTAGAGTGATTTTGTATATACACATGTATGCCTTATACACTTTGAAGCCTCATATCTTGAAAACCGCTTGGAATATCGGTTTCAAACCTGTTCTATCTTGAAAAGCATTCAATTCTGATTTATTATAGTATAAAATTCATTGAGTTGAGAGTGATTTTGTGTATACATACGTATGCCTTTTGGTTTAACAAACGCTCCTGCCACATACTTTTAAGTCTCATATCTCGAAAACCACTTGAGATATTGAATTCAAACCTGTTCTATCTTGTAAGAAATTCAATTCAGATTCGAAACTGTCAATTTCACACATTAAGAAATATTCATTGAGCTAAGAATGATTTTGTATATACACACGTATGCTCTTGCCACATACACTTTGAAGCTTCATATCTTGAAAACTATTTGAGATATCGGTTTCAAACCTGTTTTATCTTAAAGAGCATTCAATTCTGATTCGAAACTGTTTATTTTTGTATAAAATTTATTGAGCTAAGAGTTTACACACGTATGCCTTTTGGTTTGAAAAATGCTCCTGCCACATAAACTTTGAAGCCTCATATCTCGAAAATCGCTTAAGATATCGGTTTCAAATCTGTTCTATCTCAAAGAGCATTCAATTCTGATTCTACTATATAAAATTCATTGGGCTAGGAGTAATCTTGTGTATGCCTTTTGGATTAAAAAATGCCCCTGTCACATACACTTTGAAGCCTCATATCTTGAAAACCGCTTGAGATATCAGTTTCAAACCTGTTCTATCTTGAAGATCAATTAAACAACTATAAATAAATAAACAAACTTACTTTTAAAACAACACAAACGATATAATAATTATTGTGAAAGTCATTCTCACACACAAAAAAAAAAAACACTTCGCACGTGAAAGTCTCGTACCGGAAAACCTGCCGCCAACCGGTATAGGTGGGGGGATAATTGGCGCGCGTTTTTACTCGTTTTTTTTTTCTGTCCAAATAAAGATTTCCTTTTAGGAAAAGTAGGTTCCTGGATGGAATATACGACTGCGAATGGGGCAGGAAACGATATCGCAAGTGGCCTGTTCCTACCGGGGGAGGCGGACCCCTGGAATGCCTCCCTCCCGACGTTCCGCCGCCCCTCCGGTGTCGGACCAACCGAACCGGGGGTGGCTCATCCTGGCTGGCGATGCGCGAATTGTTTTCGCTGCTCCCGCGGGATAAGTGATTTTCGGTTTTGTGACAGAGATATGGGTGTTTGACATGTAATTATTGGCATGTTTATTATAGTTGAACTTTGATGAATTTCTTCTAATATTTTCAAATTTGGGTTAGAAATGTCTTCTCTCTATTTCTAAATTCTCTTAAATCAATTTTTGTTTATTTTTGGCTCTTTATATCCGTCTTTTTTTTACTCAT